ACAAAACAATTTAGATGGAATTATACATTAATCAATTCCATTAAAAATAACTTACCTTTTTTATCATAATTAGAGTGTAGCTACACGTAAGTGTGTAATGAAATGTACCATTGAAATAATAACAGTAAAAACTTTTGTGTCCAACCAGCTAATGAAATTCCACAGTTTAATTTACGTTACGTGCCAAGGGAACTTCGTTGTCACTGTAATGGATTCTAATTTGATGAATATCGTATACAGACAATAATTTAAATAAGTAATTATTAGTATAGTGACCCGTAACGTTAATAACATCAAATTACATGAGAATGGACATGAAATTGCTTTTAACTGACTAAAAGTGAAATTGATGTTTTTTGTTAAACTTCTAATATTGTTCCTAGAATGAAAATGCTGGCAGTAATCAAAGTACTAACAGTGACGGCCAACTGCTTATTATCTGTGATTTTATCGAATCGATAATAATATGTAAAATGGTTTGCAGTGAATTGTAATCGCGGCTTCTCTGAATGATTATTTGAATGGCGTAATGGTATGTCGAAGAAATTAATATACAACTAGTGGAAATATAAAAGTATTCTGAGTATAGCATTTTGTAATATAACGTCATGGTTTATTTTCTACGAAGACACATATGTAAGTTTATTAAAAAACTAGGCATTTAAAAGGATGCCTTTGCTTTTGATCGAAAGAGCCAAGAGAGCAATATAGCAAAAGAGCGTGGTTACTGTTTATGATGATTCGATTTCTTGATTATACTAAGTGTTAATAGATATTCGATTATAAGTCTTATAAATAACTTAATACTTAACATTACGTCATTATATTTTTAAGAAGTAAAAATAATATAATATATTTTATATACTGTCTCAAATTGGTGTACAATAAAGATTATTCTATTCTATATTTTCTATGTTTTAAACATGTGTTATTAGTACTCCATAGTATAAAATAGAATCACAACGTACCGCGCAACAGTAAAACGCTCTGCTACAGTTTCAACTTTTTTCTAGTTTCACTCCCTGGGGGGAAGGGTGAAAAGTTTGCCCGGAAAACTTTTCCTGATCAGAAATGCTTTTAGACACAATTGATCCAATTATGCACTGCTATTTTTTTATTCTTATGGTGAGAATAAATGATACTTACTAATTAAGATTGAAGTTTGCAACTAGGTAAGTTGCAAACTTCCCTCTCGGTATTCGATTTTAAAGCGTTATGTTTAGTAGACCAGATTGTAATTCTTCTATCAATAAGATAATTTATACAGAAATCTACTTAATATGTATATTACGACATTTAAACTGTTGTTGTGAATATATTTAAAATAGATAAATTTATTCAAAGGGCTCAGTTAGATAATTAATAGTTATACATACAATAGTTCTGATAATGGACACTTTATATTCCGACATCAACATCAAATTGACTTCGGTTTCAATACTGAATTTAATTCAAAACTATCACAAACTCATTACTATACCTGTTTTCCGAGAAACGATCCATGTAACCCGTTTTCGGTCGGAACAGGAGTTTAAAAATGTTACGCAATAAATTTAAAATCCCTTGTCATAGTATTTCAACGCTTATGGCAGAGTAAAAAGGCGTATTAATCGAAAGTTGTGCAGTTGGGCCGTTGGAGGACCGCGCTTTTACGAAGTGGAAGAAAAAACCTTTTCATCACACGTTGCGTTAAAGCTGACTGGTTGTGAGTGTCGCTAAAATGTGTGAATGCCTATTTTGCTGGTGCACAATATTTTCCAACGGAACATTGACATTCAGTGGCACCCAGTTCATTGTGTAACAATTTGTGAAATTCTTTATGACGCATTTTTGTAAAATGCTTTCATAACTGAATATTTGAAATATTTAGTAATTACAATAACGTCATTTGGTTTTAACTGAACCTATTTTAACAGAAAACATTAGAAGATTTTCTACAAATCTATGGAAAATGCAACTAAATGTTTAAAATGCAACATACTTGCATAGTTTGCTTCCACATACGAGCAAAGAGATAAGAACAAAATAGTAAAAAAGGCAAAAAAATACGGATTGCGGAAACCGTTGAAAGGAATAAAAATCGCGATAGTATACAGCCGACGATACGCTCCTAATTTATAGATACGGCTCCAAGGATAGTTAAGTATTTCGCTCGTTAGTGGTTAGTATTAAAGAGCCAATTTAATAGAAAGGAAAACGAGCATTTTCTCAGTTGTTGCGGTGGAGAAATATTAACAATATTGTTTTAGCACGTGGAAGGAATCGAGTTCGTAATTTTGTACCGTTTGTATATTTGCAAAATGTTGTTGTTGAAAATGAAACCGGCTGCTTTATATTTCAAATTTACATAATTTGGCGTAACTGTTTTTATCTGGCTAGAACAATGAAATTCAATAATTTATATTACGCTTATTTCTATATCCCGGCCTACAGTTACGAAGTTTATTTAAATTTCCAACAAAGATCCATCAACTTGATGACACGTATTCAGCGTATTTCGTGCAATTAGTTACATGCATCCATTTTAATATTGCCCAACAGCGAGACAAACGTCAACACGAGTTTTGGTAAGGCTGCACCAACCGCACAAAAGCAATTTCACTCACAATGCCAACGTTACAATAATTAGGAGGGAATTAGTAACAAATTATTGCTCGCGAAGAGTAGGGTATAATAGCCCGACCGAGCTGGATGGTTCTCATTAGTGTACGTTGGTCCCACGAAGAAGCAGCCTCGTTGTGGCCCTGCATTATTCATGCGGACAATATTGCACTGCCGCATCTATCTATACAGCTTTTATATCGTTGTACAGTTACATCAGTGATGTTTCATTAAGGCTGACATTTTGCATTGTTCATTGGTAATAATGGCGGCCAAATGTTGTTGACTTCTGATATGTTGTTTGTAAGATGATGTTGTATAATATTATTAAGATACCAAAAATAACGTATTTAACAACATTTTAATCCTTGTTTTAAAATTTTGTTACATTGTTTTTTCCATGTGATGGGCGGAGTTTATATTTGACGTTTTGTTTACACTTAGATAACTATTAACACAAATAAATTATTTAGTACATTATATGTATTTCTGCTTTCGAAATGTAAATATATCTACATTTTTTTTTCTTATGGGATAAGCCGGTAAACGAGCAGAGGGATCACCTGATGGTAAGCAAACAGCGTCGCCCATGGACACCTGGAACACCAGAGGCGTCACAAGTGTGTTACCGGCTTTTTGGGGATTAGGAATTTGAAGATTGTTGGGAATTTGATGTCTAGTAACCTCACTCACACGACAAAACACAAAGCAAGCGTTGTTTCACGTCCATTTTCTGTGAGACCGTGGTATCAGTCCAGTCGAACCGGCCCGCTAGTGCCGAAGCAAGGCTATCAACACTTGAACATTTTATTAATCACACACTTAATTATTATATTTACTTGTTTTTATGAAGTTAGTGCTTATTCGTAATCTCTTTGATACTCAACTACTTAATTCATCTATTCCTATTATCTATCCTAGAAACAATTAAATATTATGAATTCACATAACCAATGTTATTGTAGTTCTATTCTGATTTCAGCTTTGGTAGGTTTACAAAAGTTAAATAATGGAATTTGGTGGTGTAGCGCGCACCAACGTTTGATGAGCTATGAATTTGCGAGCAGCAAGTGCTCATCACTAATTAGCGCCAAATTTGAAACTAGAATCGCAATATTAATGTGGAATATGAAAGCGTCAGGCTCCGCAGCTTCAGTTCTGCACGAAGGCTGGTTCAATATTTCATACGTCATATGAATACGTCACAAAAGGTGACTCTGATGTGGCTGTGAAAGATGAATAGTGTGAATGGAACGGATGTACGACAAATAGGCACTGTTCAAATACACTACTTTATAAGTTTGGTCGCATACAACTCACCGATTGTCATCTCTTGCCTCTGTGTTCTCGTTAGATTAGTTTCACCTAATTTTTATACATTGAAACCGAGCAATTTGTTACATTTCTTTGTGTTTCTACCAAACAATTATTGCGTTCAACTCTATACACATAAATGTTATTATTTGTATTAAAATTATATAAGGTTTCATGGGAAATCCCTGGGTACAGAACTTTGTTAAACTTTTCACAGTAAACAATAATGGTCTGCGGCGTAGTTATTAAAGGAATGTTTATTCTTGCCCTCGCCTTAGGCAATCGTCTACGATTATTGTTCAACTATGGAGATCTTATTGCCGCGATACTTTTATTTGTATTTTGTTTTTGATATATCGCATCGAATAACACTTGTTTTTCTTCACTGGGGTAACCAGATATGTACCTATATTGTACCCATCAGATAGTGGGCGGGCTTACGACTACAAATGGCTCGCAGAACTCGAGATATCGTGCTTGGTAACCCTGTTTGAGATTTCACGCCCTTGTTGGTATAAAACCCCATGTAGCAGTTATAAATCTTTTTAAAATCTATTCACTCAATTTACGTAAAGTATAAAATAGTTAAAAAAGGCATTGTAATCGCAATGATCAGTTTCTTATTTAGTTAAATAAACAACAAACTGAATTTGTACCATGACATTTAATTGTACCACTGTTAGGTACTTTCAAACGATTCCATGCATAACTAGTTAGTTTTATAAACCAGATCAATATTCTGATTGTTTAATTTGTTGTAAAACCACCGGTTAGTTAGTTATGATTGGTAGACCGAAACAACAACAATGACCTGTAAATTTTTATTTTGATGCTAAATCTGTTTGCAATCGAATTATTTTGCACGATTTTACACATAGTAAACAGGGTCGTTTAAAAACTTACTTTATAGCTTTATGTTACAGTCATAAATTGAACACCACAAAGATGAAGTTGTGTCGGTTATACGATTTTTTTTTAAAGGAATGAAGTTTTCGTTTGTATTTTATGTACCTGTACTATTAAAGATGACTAAAAATATATCTAGGTATGAACGTTAATAAATCGAGTGTTTATCTTTGTTTCAGGGGAATATTGCTACAAAACCAAAAACGTTACAGCGATGCTATCAAAAGTTTCGAGAGAGCAATTTACTTTAGACCTTCAATGGCTCGTAAGTACTTGAGATAAATTAATTATTAAAAACAAAGCCTCCTTGGTATTTCTTCATAGCCCTTACTAATAATTTGATTGTCCTTTCAAATTATTTTAGATGAGGGCCGGCCGAGTCTTTATTCTCTTCTAATTTTGTTATTGTCTTGGAAATAAAGGGTTTATAATATTTTCATTGTTAGGTAAATACAAGAACAAGTTTTAATGGAGTGTTTTTAATGAAGTAAGCTATGGACAGTTGGAAATAAATATTTAAAATATTTTATGTTAACTTTAAATCTCGGTTCGAAATATTTGGTTTGGAGGTTGTACCTAATATACCAGTATTGCGGTTAAACTGCAATTAGTATTACTTAGTCACCTTTAAAACTTACTATAGCTTTTAGTATACTATAGCTATTAACTTTCTGTATTTCGATTTTAGCTTCTGTGATTTATGTATGCAAATTTTAAGTTGAAGCGATTATTATGTTATTATATTATCTATCATTTTCGAGCTCTGTGAATAAAATTCACTTTCGTTTTAGTTGCGTACGTGAATCTCGGAACATCACTAATGGCGGACGGGCGTTTAGCTGAAGCAGCAAGCGCGCTTCGAGCTGGCTCCCGGGCCGAAGGGGTGCGCGTACGCGACCGGAGAGAACACGACGCTGCACGAGTGTCAGCCCTAGTACAGCTTGCAGCGTTACACTCACAACGAGGGCATTGGCATAAAGCGCTGTCAGCATACAAAGAAGCGCTGCAAATATTGCCAGACACAAATACACCGATCGTTGGCTGGACACGACATGTAAGTACAAGCATGATGCATTTCAATAAGGTTCATTTTCTGTTGTTCTTAATAGTATCTACATCATTCATATTGACAAGTAGGTTAAGGTAAACCTGCTTGAAATATAGCTATCAATGGAATTGAGGTGCGTCATATATGAGAATAGATGTTGGCACCCTTTCTCCCGCCCACAATACAAGCAGCGTGATATATCGTTAGACTAATTACGGTTTTGTTGTTTGCAGAGTGTCCTTTCAATGGTGGGCGAGATTTATGTGCAGCTACAACAATGGCCGATGGCCGAGCACAGTTTAGTATCGGCACTGGCCGCAGCGCCGCACCACGCTGGCACTCACGTCACATTAGCTCAAATACTCGCCAGAAATGTTAGTATATTTTTTAATATTATAATGAATACATAAACAATACATTACAAATATCCTAACTTTTTCTTATATCTGTTATAAACACAAATTTTCAACGTTAAGAAACCGTTTTTAAATCAATTAACTAGTTGCATCATTATTTAATACGATATTAATATAACTTATTTAAATAAATTAAGCTATCATCGTGTTGCCGTGTCTCGAAACGCTCGTAGTAAGCTCGTAGCGCTTTCGTAGACCTGCTACGATAACTGCTACGAATTTTACATTAAACATAATTTGAAAAATTTTATTATATTTTTATAACTTACATAATATATAGAAACTATAGAAATTAATCACTGTGCTAGTATTTATCACGAGTATTAATTCTTTTTCTTCACGCGCCTTGGATACTAAACCATGTAACAAGATAACTGCTAAAATTACTCTCTACTGCGGCAAGATTGCGGTATTTTAAGATTATTACTCCTTAAGGGGCTCCTGTTATTACGCCGCATTGATCAATTATTCTCTTACAAGAATTACAACACTGCTTAAGTACCTCGCCGAACTAATCGCAGCGCCGAAAGTTACTTGTCCAAGTATCATTAATAATATATTTTGTTACAGGCAAGTAGAAGTATTGAAGCTGAAATGTGGTTTAAAAAAGCACTCACTTTAGCACCTAACGATCCGTCAGTAAGAGATCAGTTTGGTAAGTTGTACTTCAATAAAAAGTTCGACTAGTTTTAGTTTTGTTGGGCAGGACATTAATCACTGACTCTTGCAGGAATGAGGCTTAATTGTTTATTTAATTAATTATAGAAATATGGTTCGTTACTCGTCAAAAGGTATAAAAACAGTCATATGAGTGTTGTAGCATTCGTAGCTATTTCGTAGCAAGAGTTACAAATTGCTACGAATGCAATACTACGAGTACTACGCCTGTTAAAAAGCTTATTCTAATCATAGATAAGAATTAAATTTTTAATGTTTTTGTTGTTTCAATGGATTATATACCTATTCTATAATAGGAATGTTCCTGAGATCACAACGTCGTCTCCGAGAGTCAGCAGAACAGTTAGTAGCAGCAGCTCAGTTGTCACCAACGGACAGTGCACGCGCGGCTTCAGCTGCGCGGGCACTGAGGGACGCGCGACGTTGCCGCTCTGCTGAGAGGTGGTATGCACGCGCTGTACAGTTAAATCCTGATGTAAGTAGATAAACATTTTCCGAAAATTATATTAGCAGGATTGTATTAAACAGAGTAGTTTGTCAACGATGACACCAATACCACTTACTTAGTCATTCCTGCCCAAAAAGGTGACAATTTTTTTTTTTTTATGATATTGTATGACATAGTGTCAAAAACATCGTTGCCCACCCACAACCAATCAAAATTATAAATCAAACCATCGGTACTTGAATTCCAAACAATACAACACGTACCTACAATTCGTAATTCCTCTCAAAACGTGTTTGATGGGAGCAAAAAAGTCACGTTACGTCTAAATTGTGAAACGTTTCGGCGTTGCATTTTTTACTGCACCAATAATATCTCACAGATTCATGTAAAAATCACGCGTCGACCTGTTTCTGTTGAATTGATTTATTACGACAGGTTATATTCGTAAATAAACGGTTTTAAACGTATCGCTCAAAGGAAAATGGGTTTGTAAGAGAACATTCTTGTTTGTTTGTTAAACATGGTCAGATCAAGGTCTTGCCGTTGGCTGTTTTCTTTGTTCCCTGTTCGTCTGACCTTTGAGCTACCAATTATGGTTTTCGAAATACGACACGTTTTGTTGTTTGTTGCTTTCGTTTCCAGTATGTTTATTCTGGCCAATGTTATATTTGCGAATAGTCATGATACACGTGTATTTCCTAAATTGATTTCATATTGAATGTCGCTATTTATTATGAAAGGTTACGTAAACTCTTGGTTAAGAGGTATTTTATTGTACGTACTTTGGATTGTAATATTACTTCCAGTTCATGATATCCTAGCAAAGACTCCATCAATCAGTTAAACTACAACCTTGTGAATCACTATCTTTTCGTAATAATGAATATTATCAGACACGTTGAGATTAAATCATAACCTTTATTATACCAATAGTCACAAACACGTTAATCTCTCAAAACATGGACGAAAAAAACAAAAGAATACTAGCAAGCCAGGTGTATAAACAAAAATGAATCAACAGAGCGAATGGTGAACGTGTTATTCGTTTTTGTTCGTTTCTGTGTGACCACTGCACCGCAACCGTGGATTTGGCCACCTTAATATTTCTAAATTGTGAAAGGTTTGCACAGAAACTCTATGAATAATATTCTTTGTTTGTTACCAAAACTATTTTTCATTGAATTTTGCATTGTGAAAGATTACATTTTTGTTCTAGAGTATTAGTAATACCATATTCAATTTTGGATAGTGTCTTATTTTGTTGTGATCGATGAATGGGTTAGTAACAGAAAACATTTCAACAACTGTTACAGAATATGTATATCAGGAGGAAATATAATCTCTTTATTCGTCGATTGTCATGTGTAAGTACTGGGAAATAGAACATCACTTTGTTTACAGGACGCCGAGTATCATTCAAATCTTGGCGCCATCCTCCACCTCAACGGGAAGTACGCGGCAGCAGCGACCTCTTACCGGCGAGCGCTACAACTACAACCCAATGACGACATTACCATCACTAACCTGAAAAGAGTCAGAGCATTAATGAGCAAACAACGTAGAAAATAATCGAACCAGGCCTCTTGTACGACACATCATATAGACGAAATAGGATGTCAATTGCCAAAAGTATTGTTAGATACTCAGTACATTTTGTTTACGCGTTTGTACATAAGCCAATAAATGTTTATTTCTTCGTACCTACCTACTAGGCTTTTGCCTGTGCTTGTAAAATTATGAAGACCAAACCTCGGTAGTGTAACTGCCTACCCACAGCAAACAATCATCATAGCAGGTAAGTTCGAATTCTCATTACAATACAGTGTAAATTGATTAAATCGAATTTTCACACTTTGTCGACGTACCAACTGATGAAAGTTTCCTTCAGACATGGTAGTCATTAAGTATTAAAATTTAAATCGTATATCATTATCGTAAAAGGAACGTATGAACCTTGAATTATTCAATTATATCTGTAATTATAGGTTTTCAAGCACAACGGTGAATTCTAATGTGAAAAACTTCAATTATTTATTTTGTTAAAGTGATACTTACGAAGCGACGCGTCGTGATATTATATACAAAGAAAATAATTTTATTTTAAATAAATAAGTAATCATATTTTGTTTGCCTGTACGATATGTTGTTTGTTGTACGTTTTAAACGTGATGTATTCTTACTTTGTTAATTTTCTATTAACCTGCGGTTGCAAACGAATACATTGAAGGGTCTTAAGACAACGTTGTAAGAGTAGTTAGAAATTATTGTAAATAGACTTTTGAAATAAACAATTTTATACGTGTGCAAATATAAATCTATGAGAAGTTAATTCCCATTATTTCAATGGAGATCGATGGTATTCTATTGTTATTATTTTCGTCTTCCATTATATTTTAAATGTGCTGTACCTTGTGGGATGCCGGACCTAAACAATGGATGCGATGTGAAAGGCTAGTGTGTAACTATGTATCATATAATATTAAATATTTTTTCGATGGTCGATTCCTAGGTTCAAAAAAAAAACAGGGTGCATGTTGCAGAACTGAGCCTATGAGATATTAATTGTTCATGCTGGACCGAAAGCCAATACGTTACTGGAAGCCCTCGGTATTACCTTCTAATTGTGTTGCGGCTTCAATTCATCGACAGGGACCGATCGCCTTTGGACGGCCTGCCTGCCCCTTAATCTCTTCTATTACCTATAACATATAAATTATAGGCGCCCGGCCATAGTCCAACCAATTATGGACATGTTAAGTGGCATTTTCCCTTTAAAACGTGTACTGATTTATAACGTAGCACCGAGAATGGAATTGTTTTATTGAATCTTTATACATAGATAGGAAATTTTAGGGATTAGATAAAGGATATAATATTTCAAAATTTATCAATGTTCTTTTCAGGATTATAATTCCGTTCTATTAATACGGGATATTCAATTTCAAAGGGATTTGTAATATTAGTGGTGTCAAAGAAGTCGGATTCAGAGAATGGCTACAAAATATGTTGCTTGATTCAAATTGTATATGAGCCACATAACTTGCAGCCTCGCTTTCAAAGATTATTCGCGACGCGAATTCTCGGTTAAATTGTCATGTAACATTCATAAGTTACTGACGGCTTGCATTTAGAACGTGATAGGAATTGCATAATCGTGTTACGTTATAAATCAGTACTCCGCTGACAAAATATCGTGGATATGTATATTGGGCTATTCTCAAAACACATATGCCGCATAAAAATAAATATAATTCGTATTCTCAAAAACTTGACAAACCACTAATGATACATAAATTCATTAAACGAAAACCAAATATTCGATTAACATTTGTGAGAAGCACTTTGGTTGGTCATGTTTTTTTCGATAATTTATCGTAATTGAATGGTAAATTTTTGATCAATTAATTGTTTTACGAAGTCTGAAACATATCTATGTCGTGTTTGTATAGATATACAACCAGACATAATTGTTATTACGTATAAAAATGATAATTAAAAAAATGTTGTAAATAAAAAATATTTAAGTCGCATACTTGATAACCGTATAATGATAAAATGGTTTTTACATTTCTAATTATTATTTTTTGTCGTTCTATTTCTCACACCTGTGACAATAAATGTAAATTACGCTTTGTAGTCATAGATAAATGCCAAATCAAATGATTTCAGTTACTTGGGCAAATATTTTAATCAAAATATTAATCCTAATGCAATTAAATATACTTTAGAGGACATATTTTAATCTGATTACATTGGTATTAAAGTAAAAAGTTTCTTGTATATATTAGAATTTTGTAGAAGCTTTCGCGAATACACCAATACAGATTAATAAAAACAAATCCACTAAAGTATTTTAATTTCATTAGGATTTAAACATCTTTCACGAGTTACGTGATTGTGTGTATAAACCAGGCCTAAAATAACTTAAAAGTGATAAATATTAGAATTTTTTAATGACGGTTATTGTAAAAATACTCTTAGTAAACCCCAAAACTCGGCTCGTCTTTATAAATACAATCACGTTAAAAATGTGTTAAATAATTTATTATATTGAAGACCGATAGTGCGTAAATTATTGTGAATTAATTATAAATGTTTGCAGAATTGTGTACGCTTCTTGACAATTTATAGCATTTTGCAATAATATGGAACTTTTCTTCCTCCTAAGTATGCGCCCACTATAAACTTTTGAAAAAATAATGATATTTCATTTCTATAAATAAGAAACTCTATCCACAGTTCTCTAATGAGCTTCTTGTTCACTATTTTCTTATCAAGTAGTATTTCTAAGAAAATTTATTTTTAAACTTCAAAGATAGGGAAAGGATTTCCAATTGCTGTGTTTACCTACAAACCACTTAGGTATCTGAAAGCTAATCAAATTTGAACTAAGTTAATATTTTTACAGACAACTTTTTATAACAGTTTTCTTTACTATAATTTTGACTGACTCGTATTTGTTAAGTTTTTTACAAATGGATCTTCGAGAGCTACCTTGTACCTTCTTCTAATAATAATAATATATTTAAATTGATTAGTATAATTAAAATTGTTGTTCGATGATTGTGGGCGCAACAATCTGATTATAAAGTACTGGAATACATTTTTATATTATACATATAATTTCCATGATAGTAATTAAATATTATAATTATTGTACTTCCAATAATCGATACATGAACATTTCGTAACATTACACCTACTATAATAGTAGGCATACTTTATGTAACAATTGAGGAATTGTAATCACTATTGTTTTTATTAAAATAGTAATAAATAGTTATGTATATTTATGGCGTTATGCAAGTAAACCTGCAAATTCCCAAAGTGATATTATATGTTGGTAATTTTGTAAATAAAAGCTTCAATATTTTATCGAATGTTTCATTTATTTCGTTTATCAATCAATAATACTTAAAATTATTTAAAAAAACCGACTTCAAAAACTAAAGTCAAACGAAAAGTAAAAACTACACACCTACACACAGGTTTTTTTTAAGAGGGTAAAATCATCGTATGGCTGCTCCCGCCTGGGTGAGGCGGAAGGGCGTGTCAGACTCTTACTGACAAAAAACCACCCCGTTCCTTCTCCTGCACGTCGAGCCGGAGCCCTGGTTACCCGTTAGGTTCTCCGCGACTACACACTGGTTTACACACCCACTGATAGATTAGAAGTCGGTGCCACAAGTTTTAAACAAAATTATTCATTAAACCCTTATTAAATACCTAACATTATTAAACTGTTTACAATTTTATTATGGATTATACCAGCTGTGACCATTAACTACTTTATATTTTGTAGTGGGATTATGGCACCGACTTCTAATCTATCAGTGGCTGTGTAAGCTATAAGTACGAATGACCAATAATAGTTATTTTTTTCCTTTTTAGTTTTTACTTTTCGTTTGTCTTTAGTTTTTTAAGTCGGTTTTTTTAAACGCAGTTTTTTATTTTTATTTTATACTTTTTATGAATGAATGAATGAATGTCCTTTATTTCTCAGTACATGGTGCACACAGATCTTAAAATTAACAGAGTTCCACACATACTACCGTTACCGGTGTAGAAATATAAAATTGTATTAACAATATTAATTTATGTCGCATTAATGAACAATTATATTGAAATTATTATTATTATTATTGGAAACAATTCAAATACATTAAAACAGGTAAAGTCAGAAAATAAATTAGAGATGTCATAAAATTAAGATGTCATTATGTATCAGTAGTCAAATTGTAATATACTAAAAAGTCAATAAATTAATAGTCACAACAAATCAGGAAGTCAGGTTAGCAATTTATAATTAATTTTGGTCAAAAAACATGGAGGCAACTGATTAGCACGATGATACAATGATTTAAAAAGCTGCATACCGACAGCTACTGTTACTTAGGAAATCTCGGGTAGAATAAAAACTCTCCTGAACCAACCACTTTTGTAAGGCACGACAAAACGGTTTATATGGCAGCTCGCTAATTCCTCGGGGCAGACAGTTAAATATGAGCGGCGCCATATATGCACAACTTTTTCTGTAAAGCTCCAGTTTAGGTATGGGCATTTTCAGGGGCAGCTGAGTGATCAAGCGTCTGTTAGCATTATCGTTAGCAACGAACAAATAACTATGATATTTCACAAACTTAGCCACTTCGTAAATATAAATGCTAGGAACAGTCAACAGTCCTTTAGATTTAAATACGGGTTTGCAAGAATCCGACCATCCCATGCCAAACAATGCACGAACGCACTTTTTTTGGGCCACAAAGACCCTAGTAATTTCAGAGGAGTTTCCCCATATGACGATACCATAACGTATTATGGAACAAATATATGCATGATACACCATAATGGAACTTTGAATTGATGTTACGTCTTTTATTTTCCGAAGTGCAAAGACAAACTTGTTAATTTTCTTGCATAAGTTGTTAATATGTTCCTTCCACGTGAAATGAGAGTCAAGAGTTACACCCAAAAATTTGGCATTATGAATCTGCTGAATAAGCGTATTATTATAACTTAAATTTAGTTCGATAGTTTTGCTTTTAAATGTTTTAAAATTAATAATTTTAGTTTTTTCTATGTTTATTTTTAATTTGTTGATACTAAGCCACCTAATAACATCATCTAATGTTTTATTTATGTCAGCTTCATATGAAGCCCTATTTTTTTCGGACGTATGTGTGAGAGTGATTTGTGTTCGGACCGTGTACGTCATAGGGTGTACTTTTTCGTGGTTTACACATAAGTCATTACAATTAAAAAACTATCTTAGAAAAAAAACTGATTTAGATTTTTTAAATATTTTTCTGTTAACTGTTGGGACCTTGTCAATTACCTGGTGCCATTTGATCGTGGACTTCAGAGACATTTTCTTTCATACACTTTAATATATACAGGATATATTAAACGAGCGTTTGAATGTATTAGAACAAATTTTGATAAATGAATATGTGCTTAGTCACATTAGTAATAGAATAGAAGCTAGGTTTTTGTATTCCGTGGGTAGATCAATCTTGACCTCTCTGCGGTTACCGTTGTCAACCAGCTGCCTGTAGAAAACAAACCACTTTTGTTTAGAGTCAATTTTAATCATATGACAAGCTTCAAAGTTACTACTTAAGATCTCTTTAATAATTTGTTGCTATGGATTAAATCTACTGAATAGAAACCAATTAAATTAAATAAATAGACGTCGTAACTACCCGTACTAGAACCAAAAGTCAACTAATAGTGATCAGTTATATATGTCCGTACCTCGAAGACGGCTCTTTAGTAACTTGTCACTGCCAGAGCAAGATATTGGAGTCTATTTTAAATCCAGCATCGGTACGTGTTTAAACGCGGCCATTCGTATATTGCATTCGTTCTAACTCAATTTGCCTCACTCGATAAAAAGTGATACATTGCAGTTACAGACCATTTGTTAAAAAAACGAAAATAAACACACGATATAAACTTTTTAGGGCTGATAATGTGGGAAGTGATTACGTTTCTTGTCGACTGTTCGCGTTTGGCAATTTTTTGCGACTTTCGTTCCGAGCTCATGACTGAAAGAATGGTGCGTCAAATAACTTGGAAAAAAGACACTTAGCCCTCACACTCACGCCTTTCCTGTGTGGAGATAGCATCCCCTAAGCTTCGCAGTAATTTCCCTCGAAGACATTATTTTCCATGCTTCGCGCTCACCCTACCGCCATTACCATTCGCTTCATCTTCAGTTTCCTTTTGTATTTTGCTTTGACACTTTGTATTTCGATTTGATATTGAGATGTATTTTCTTTTATTATTATTACGGATGTTTTAGAAGACAACGTATCTCTCAGTAATTTTGTAGGGCTGCATTATTGTAATCTTTTTGATAAAGTCAAATGTTACGGTTTTTTACATGATAAGCCGGTAAACAAGCTGACGGATTCCCTGATGGTAAGTAATCGGCGCCGCCCTTGGACACCTGTAACACCAGAGGCGTTACTGGTCTTTTAGAAATTGGGAATTTGAGGATTGTGGGGATTGGGAAGACTGGGGAGGGGGGGTAATTGGGCCTCTGGTTACCTCACTCACACGACGAAACAAAACGCAAGCGTCGTTTCACGTCGGTTTTCTGTTATGCCGTGGTATCACTCCGGTTGAACCGGCCCAACATGGCTCTTCCAAACTTGTTACGTGTTAAGTACCAGTACGTGCGACGTCGCTATGTTTTAAAAAATGTTGGTATTCAAAAACTTATCGGTAGCCTTGTGTGTAAAACCAACACCGAATAAAGTTTCAGAGTATCCAATGAGAATGTTAAAATCGATGAATTGTCTCATTTGTCAAATATTCGCAATCGCAAGTACTAACCAAAGTACCTACCAAACCAAACCAAGGCTGAAGGATTCTAGATTGTAAGTACTAAGTAATAACGGGCGCCGGCGCGGTGTCTCGGTGCTAACAGCTGATCATACGAAAGCGCGCGCGCGAAATTTGAACTTTGTTATTGTGATAAAAATAAAACTAATGAGTTTACAAAGATAAGTTTCTTTGGAAAAGTTGTTTGTAATTATGAGTACAATCACGTGTTTAAGTATTTTACACTATTACCAGTCACCCTACATGCTCCAGGACCAGCCTTTGATTATTATAATAACTGTCGAAAATCAAAACGAACCTTCTTTTTTAGTCGGTTAGAGTAGAGTAAATAGTACATTAGGTAAGTGTTAGTTCAATAAATGATAAAATTATTATTTTATTTTTGATTTACCAGCAAGTGAGACTTTTTTGTAATTTTTTCCCTCTTTATGAGACCCATGAAAAGGGAATATTGGATAACACAGAACATATAAAGAAGTGAATAATATGTTTACCACACTGAAAAATATGGCGAAAATTAGTTAGGTCAAAAACATAAATTGAATAATGTAATTTTTAATAACTTAGCAGTGAATTTTAAGTGATCTGTTTAATACTTTTGAACCGTCATTTATAATTTTAGTATAAATTTCTTTTTTTATAAATTTATTTTGTAGCGTGCCTACACGTAGTGACACCTAGGTGACACAATTGATACTACTTGGCGGGAAAGTCCATTGCAGTGAAGTATTCACTGCAAACTTTTGGGCCGCTTTTCGTGAACAGACATTATAATATTTGCTATAATAAAGTAACTAGCTCACCATTAAAGACTATATTTCAATGGGACACCATAGCGGAGCAATCAGTCACCGCGACCAACAAATACAGGTCTATGAACAGTACTCACCTGGAGTCGGGTTGGTTGTGCAACCAATCTGGTGGCGTGGCCAGCTCGGACGGTAGCATTATTATGTATGTCTTTACCATTCACGGGACCACAGGATCCCGGTCATTTGGGAGGCGTACGAGGGTCCAAAGCCAACTGCGCAAAAGCCCTATAGATAACTTTAATCTATATGTAATGGACACACAAACCGGCGACTATCCCTGTATGCACTATGGAAATGTACTCAAAGACAGTGTTGGGTTGGCTATGGATGGGTTGCTGTGGACCGGTAAATTGGAAACTATGGATGACTATGGCACCTGCCGAAACAATATAAGTATTATACGTAAAAATGGCAGGCGGAGACTTGCCAACTCACCGACCAGGCCTCAGGAATGGTTGCTAGCTAGCGCCTAGAATAGCAACAGAGGGACAACGGATACGTGAGTGGCTGAAGGGTTAAAAAACTGCCACCGCTTTCTACTTAGCTCATCTGCTCCAGCCGAAGCCTCCTGCATCCCTGGCCCACTTGCAACTTACGAATAGTTTCTTATCCTCCGAGCAGGATTACTGCTCTCGCGACTCCACTCTGGACGGCCAATGAAGGCGAGCCAGAGGTGGGAGACCTGTTCCTTGTTATCATTTACACTAGCCAGCTAATTAAGGCAAGCCGGATAATGGTTTAAATGATCTGAACCGACATTTCTCCACTGTGTCCAAATTGGATCCTCTTGCTAAACAGCAAACTTTATCTTTTATTTCTGCTCTGATGCGTTCGTCTTCTTTAACTTCTTTCAGATTCACACCGGTGCAGCCTGAAGAGATCCGAAAGATCATCCTCTCCATTAAATCCAGGGCGGTGGGTTGTGACGGTATATCGCGGTATATGGTCACAACCATACTCGATCTTCTCCTCCCAACCATAACTCACATGGTTAACTATTCCCTGTACTCCAAAGTCTTCCCATCCTTGTGGCGTAAAGCCTATGTCCGTCCTCTTCCTAAGATAACCAATCCTACTCTTCCCACACACTTCCGTCCTATATCAATTCTTCCCTTCCTGTCAAAGGTGCTCGAGGCCTGTGTCCATAAGCAACTTGCTGACTACATATACAGTAACTCGCTTATAAGTCCATTGCAATCCGGATTCAGGCCCGGGCACAGTACTGTAACCGCTCTCCTTAAAGTGATTGGCGATGTGAAGGCAGGGATGGAGGACACCAGGATCACAGTATTGGTTTTGGTGGACTTTTCGAATGCCTTCAACGTGGTCAATCACGACATTTTGCTAGCTATCCTATCCCATCTTTCGGTCTCTGATGGTGCGCTGGATTGGTTTTCATCTTATCTTCAGGAACGTCAGCAATTGGTCCAGGTTGGTGAGGCTTCGTCGAACTGGTGCCATTTAGAAGCTGGGGTTCCTCAAGGCGGAATCTCTCTCCTCTTCTATTCTCCATCTTCATAAACCTTATCACTTCCGAACTTCAGTGTGCGTACCATCTGTATGCCGACGACCTGCAATTGTACTGTCAAGTCAAGATTGAGGACTTACCTGATGCAGTTGCGAAGGTGAACGCGGACTTGACTGCCATATCTAACTGGTCTGGGAAATTTGGCATTAATGTCAACCCGAGCAAGTGTCAGGCGATAATAGTAGGTAGCTCCCGCACTTTGTGCAAGGTTAACAGTGCAACGGTACCGCCAGTCCGGTTTGACGGTGCGGTCATTCCATTTAGTGGTGATGTCAAAAATCTTGGGTTGCACATCGACGGCAACTTAACCTGGCGTGCTCATGTTACTAGTGTCTGTCAGCGAGTCACGGGGACGTTGCGAGCCCTGTATCGGTTAAAAAACTTCCTTCCGTCGTCGACCAAGGCGATGCTTGTTCAGTCCTTGGTTTTTCCCATAATTGATTACGCTGATGTGTGTTACTACGACCTGAATGCAGATCTCCTCAATAAACTTGACCGCCTTCTAAATAACTGCATTCGATTCGTTTTTAACCTGCGTAAATACGACCATGTCTCTGCATATCGGTTGCAACTAAAGTGGTTGCCCATACGTCAACGCAGGAAACAACGGGCGTTAACCACTTTATTCTCTCTTCTTAATTCCCCCACTTCTCCTAGCTATCTATCCTCCTATTTTCAGTTCATAAGTGCAAACCACAGCAAGTATCTTCGTTCCACTAATAATCTTCTTCTACAATGTCCCACACACCGTACCGACTTCCTTCACTCTTCATTCTTTGTCCAATCCATTCTGCTGTGGAATGCGCTGCCCACGGATGTCAGGACGGCAACCAGCCGGCTTAGTTTTAAAGTTAAGGTTCGTGAGCTATTGCAGAGGGAACAGACAGACGCATCACGTACTTAATTTATCATTTTGGCGATTGTATTTAATATATATGTATATAAATATATATTATATGTAGTTTTATTCCCAATTTATTTATTTACTTTTATAGTATTGTTATCTAGTAATATTGATAATGTATCTTATGTAATTTATATTATACCTATATATTATACGGATATATGTATGTATTTACAGTTATGTATAATCATGAATTTATTTATATAGATTTTTCTGTGTCACATAAACCATTATACCTATACGCCTACTGTTGCACATCTCTGCATCACCCCATGGTTGACTGTTAGAGAATGCCACCCGGCATTAAGTCCGCCATCGTATGTTTGCTATACAGAAGTGTTAATAAATAAATAAATAAATAAATAATAAGGAACGGTGACTTCTCCCTCTTCTTCCTGGACTCTTACTGACTAAAAACCACCCCCTACTCCTGCACTTCGAGCCGAAAGCCGTTAAGTCTTTCGCGGCTCCGTATCGGCATCAGCCCTGTTGGGCCCCATCTGTGGTTGTCTGATGGCTCCTTCAGGGCTTGTTCTGGTCAGGTGGCGAGTCACCCGTGCTCGCCGTCTACAGGCCCGTGCTTACGGTGGCCAGAGATCCTCTCGCGATCCCCGACGCCCGGAATATATCTCGCGACGACTGGGGCGTGAGGAGGTTCGTTCTCTCACGCGCCTCGCCTCCTCCTTAGCTAGCATAATGTCTTCGCAAAAGGAGGAGACGGCATCCCAGTCCCCCTCGCTTCGTACCATGGTCTGTTGCCGTCGCCGATCACATCCCTGAGGACACGGCGGTGCTCAGCCCACTCAGGATACACCGCTACCGTATGCTCCGCCGTGTCCTTCGGGCGGTCTTCACAGTGATGACACCCGGGCGTTTTCTCCCGCCCAATCCGATTCGAAGGAACCTACCGAAACTTCCATGTCCTGTAAGCACCTGCGTCAGGCTGTAGGTGAGGACGCCGTAGCATCTCTCAAGCCACTCCTCTAAGAGGGGACTTACCGCTGCAATGACAGCGAGCCCAGCCTCGAGGTGCCCTGCGGGCTTATCATTATTATTATTAAAGGTTTCTTTTAATACTGTCGCAGTTTGATGTGTGGACTCTGATTTTGTGTTGTGTCAATTTGGTAGCTTATGAACACGACACGACTGGTTTCGCCGCCGTGGAGTCCCGGTGAAAGCACAGAACATAAATGTTCTGTGGGTGAAATATAGCCGTGAGAGTAGTAAGGTCACTGAGTAATATTCCAAGAACTAATGATGGAGTGTTTTAATTTAGATTACTAATTTGATAATAGGCTGTGACAAAAGGCAGACCTAACTATCTGACGAGGTACATATTTTATACACCCGCTATTCTAGTATCATGCCATCATAAATGCTCACGTGAATTTGGAAGACTGCCCACAATGCATTATCTTACTTGGTTTGCTTATTACACAGGGTACAAAATATGTAATTTATCATTTTGTTTTCATTTACTGTAACACCATTTTACCTAACCTTGCTTTTTCTCCTTTTAATTTTTTCATCCTTACCAATGTAAATGATCTCCAATACGCTAAATATGGGCAATAATGAATGGAATGCTCCGGGAGTGTATCTTTCAGCTGATGTTAATTTAATCTCTTGTTGCCTAAATTATAATTTGCTAGTAATTGCTAAAAAAATTGCCACTTAGTTTTTAGTCAAATTTCCGTGGTGCTTGGCGACTGGGCTTCACCCAGTTGTACAGTCTCTTTTTGTGCCTTTAGGCTTAATTCATTCTGTCTCCAGCAGTAATTCACCGAGGGAAGACGAAAATATTGTTTTTTTTCTTCTCTTCTTATAATATCTTCTGATTTACTTCAGGACGTTGGACGCGCCGGACTTCGGTGTTCCGGTGTTTTTATGGTTGTATCTACTATAGATCCTGGTTTACAGGAGTTGCAGTCAAAATAAAAAAAATGGTTAAAAAAGTTTTTATAACAAAAATAAGACAGAAACCAAAAACGGAGTAATTATACAAACCAATATATAGTATTTATTAAAGATCAATTTTGGTACACGAAAATGTTATTTAAATAGTAAAATATAAAAGGAACACTTGTTTCATAAATTTATTCAGGTTATATGAAAATATACGCTATGCATTTTTAGGTTTTATTTTTAGGTTTTGTTTTCAGCGTTAAAAATACATGATATGTAAGTAGGTACTTACTTTTCCATATACATCCATAAAATTGTTTTCGCTACGTTTTTTAGTGTGAACAGTACCTATATATTTTTTAGAACGACAGATTATTGTACTAGTATATTATATGGTATTTTGTGTTCTGTATTCCGTGGTATTTGTAGATACATTGTAGATATCTCATATTCGATGTCGGTGAATGGAGAATCTCAGTTCTGATGTGATGATGTGGGCGTTATGACGTAAGTAACAGTAAAATAATAAAGTCTTCGATATGAAATCATTGTCTATTTTTGTACATTGCAGTTTTAATTCAATTAAGCCACTGATGGGGCTGATATTTTCATATTTTGTACTGACTACTCCGAGAAGAATTGTCAAAACAAACTCCCAGGTCTCAGTCAATTTCTAAGAGCAAATATGGTTAACAAAGTACATAAAAGGTAATTCATTGTTACAATTTCAAATTCAATATTAAATTAACCGGTTACAGGCTAGGTACACAGCAGGAATGCGCGGTTTTTATATACCACCACACTGGTCGGCTGCTGCACGCCGCTCAGCTGATGAATCCTTGACTTTGTCGAGCGCCGAAGGGGTGGGGGCACCAGCGTTCCAATTACTCTCTCGATTGTGACATATAAATATGAGTATGTGCCAGATACATACTTATCAATGAGAGTTCTAATTAATTAATTTATTTATTTATTTATTATTATAGGTATACTAACAGCTTCTGTATGTATGTACACAGTACTATAAAAACATAGATAATAATAAGTATTGGGCTTATACGGTTGCCAATTATAGGTTTATCAATTTTACAATTAAGTGATAATATACTACATAACGGACCAAAATCTATAGAATTTCATTTTAAGCAGTCGTACCTAAACTGGGTGACATTTTTATGTATATATAAAGTTTGTTAAAACTGTATTAAAGTCGTATCGTTTTGACTCTAAACCGAAAAATCCTTACAGACAAAATACTAATTAGACTATGTAGTGTGGTAAAATGGAAAATAATCATACCTAACCTAGTTAAGCACTAAAATAATTAGTACATAAGAATTAAATACCTTATTACGAGACCGGCGACGTCTGAACGTCTTTAATATTTTTTCTAAAGTTGCTACTTATTACTGCTAAATGAACAAAAACGAACCGAGTCGGCGGCCATATTAATTTTTTTGGTCTTATATTATTGCGGTGTTGCTTTTAATTAAGAATTCCAACTTGTCAGGAGAATATTTTAATGAGAATGAAAATCTCGCAATTTTTAAAAGAAAAATACTGAACTATTATTACAGACGGATGGTAAGTTAAAGCCCATGGATGGATGTTTTTTATTAATTTTCCTTAATTAAAGTACACCTACACAGTTTCTTTTTCATCTTCAGACAATCTTACTTAGTTTATTCTTGACTGTGATTAGACAAAATTGGCTTGCATACATACATACATATATAACTTCACGCCTGTCTCCCATGGGGGTAGGCAGAGACTAGGAAAAGTATGTAGGAATCGTAGTAATTACTACGATTCCTACATACCTCTTTCGCTTCATCATTGGCTTGCAATATAAAAAAAGTGAGATAAGTTACTTTTTCGGTCTTTTCCATGTAGAATCTATACTTACGATATAGGCAGATAGTAGCAGCATACGCAGATAAGGTAGGTACGTAATTATAACTTTGACCTAAGGGAAAAATCTTTTTTAACAAATATGATATTTCAAACAAAAGACTTTAACAAAAATACTTGGAAAACATACCTAATTAGATTAATACATTCTGTTTGAACCGCTTTTATCAATAAGTTAGATATATAAGATACCTGTTTGTATTATTTCAGTGGTTTGTTAGATCATGTATGCCTAATTAGGTCCTTTGTGACTTACATACATAATCCAGTAGGATCCGATATAAGGTTTTATGTCTATGTTTTAAGCCGATTGTGATGAATCCTTAATAATCCGAATTTGGCTTATAAGTTACCTTTGCCCTTTAGTCAAAAATAATGGGTTCAACGCATGTTTAATCGATCATGTTCAGTATTTTAGGGTTTTGCGTTGTATTTGTGATATGCTTTACGTAGTACTTTATATTAGACCTTTCTGAACCTAACATAATTTGGGATGTTATCCTAAAATCGTGTTCATTATGAAAGCAATATAGGATAATTTTGAATAACAAATGTAGAGCTATGTATAAGAACTAAATGTCAGTTGGAAACCGGTTCTTATGGTAATTAATAAGAGGCCGTCAGCGGATGTATTTTCCTTGATATGGTAATGATGACGTGACCACGTGGTATCACGACATGTCATAGCCGCCTCCCCTTTGGTCACTATGACAGGATATATCCAAGTCTAGTTCTCCTTTTCCTGGTTAGATATTATCGAATTCCTGTCTTGTCCAGACGTACTAGGTACGTATGTGGCTATGTAGGTAGACGTAAGCAGTTCTACAGGAATACCATTTTTCTGTAAGTATAAACAGTCTTATCATAAATTTCGGATTCATTCTTGAGACTGAGAAGTTTGCTATTTTATTTTTAAAATATATTTGGATATTTAGTTACAGTATGAGACTAATACCTCTTTTTCTAGAATATAAACTAATTATGATCATGGTCTACTACTTTTAAGACATTTTCGTACTCCAGAATAGATTGATAATAAGAGAAATACGCAAATTGAGCAGGTACGTAGTTTGTCCATTATCATTGAGCGATTATTTTACTGGTAATACGTGGTTCTGTTGGTAATATTCTGAGATCGAAAGTCAGACAACAAAAGGAACATACATTTATATGTATAAATAAGATGAATGTTAGCGGTAATACCGTTAGGGACCACAAGAAGGACATATTTATCTCAAGAAAGGTCAAGTGTGGAATACGCGTAACCGTTGCGATGTGACTACATGTAAGAATGTGAACGATGTCTAACTATTAGAATTGCTGTAAAATGGTAGTTGTGGGTCCTGCCTGTCCCTGAGGGATTGAATAACCTCAGTGTTTTGAATAACCTCAGAAAAACTTGCTGCTTTGTGAGTCAGGTCATTTTTAACTTTTGCAATGACAATGAAGAATGCATATTTTTTTGTCTTATATTTACTCATCAACAGCCTATAAATGCTCACTGCTGAGCAAAGCCTCTTCTCACATGGAGAAGGTTTGAGCATTAATCGCCACGCTTGCTCAATGCGGGTTGACGATTTCAAACTTATAATTAGAAATTAAAAGCTCAGGTTTCCTTACGATGTTTTCCTTCACCGTTTGTCAGTGGTGTCTAGATAATCTTAGAAAGTACATATAACTCAGAATAAGTCACATTGGTACTTGCCGTTGGTAGATTTCGAACCCGCATCCTCATACATGAGAGGAGGGTCTTAAATCTCCGGGCTACCACGGCTACCACACCACTTATATTTACTACCTTGTATATTACTTAAATAATATTTAAATCTTAGGGTATATAGTACAATGCAGATGCTATTAACGTTACTTGAGCCTACATGTCCTTCACGAGATAATACGCAATGAAATGTCAGCCGCCAGTAAATTTTAATTACAAAACTTTTGAGTTAAACTTTTATGTGTTACTGCAAAAGTTTAGTTTTGGCAATTTAGTAAATTAACGTCACATACGCTCCAGTACACATGGGTCGCATAGTTCTCATCGCAGCACTTAATATAACGTACGGTCGACGGTCGACCACAGCTGATAGTGAACTCAGACTAGCTGTTGCGGTAACACTGCTGCAAAGAGGTGCTGATAAACACTAAGATAAAACAGAATAATTTGTGCAGCACGACCCTCTGAAATGTAATTATCAGTAGGGATATGTAACGTCTGCTCTAATTTTCGTCACAAAGTTACATGGAAGCCGACGGTTTTAAGCACAAAGCTACAACTTCAGTATGCAACAAGTACATCAACAAAACTGAATTTACAATCAAAAGAAACACGGTAGCTCGTGACGAGCTCGGTTGAACGGCGTGTCACAGATCATTAATATTAATAGTCGAGGGTAGAACCCACGGCTACTGCTCTCGCTTCATGCATAATTTCACTTCTACGTCCCAGCAAATTTTAATTGCTCGAGTTGCTACATCGCAACTTTGTCCAAAGTTACAGTGACGAATATACCACCCCATTTGTTGTTTCGCGAATGCACAAAAAATGTTTGCGCTGCGTACAGAGTGCCGAGTATGCTTCAGTTTGGTTACGTTCCACTAAACTTTACCAGCGCACGCCGCGCAGTTTTAAGCTTCGCGACGTATTTTAATTTGTTTTAGTTGAGAATTTATTGTGAACTTTTTTAATTTAGTGAAAGTCAATATACGCGAAGTAATAAAGGCGAACATGAAAACAGTTTTACTCTATGTTGAAATATATGTAATTCATATTAGTTTGCTATAGTTTAAATATGAAATATCATTAACAAGTTTTGCTCTGTAAAATATAACTTCCAATGGAAAATGTACCAAGTTTGCATAGCAACAATCATGACAAGTTTCACCATTTTGTTGATTCCAATAATTACGAATGCTAAACTCTTGTCAAGGGCATCAAGGAGTTAGGCAGGTAGCGTATTAATTCTCGTAGTAAGCGCAATACTTACATCAAATATTATTTTGAACGAGTTTGTGTACCGCGGCGTATACGTATAAATAATGTAAACCCCAAAAGTTCGACACACGACATAATTAGGGAACGCTTAGGTAAATTTATGGGAGATCAAATAAGTTATATTGGTAGGTACGTGTTTGCGGAGGCTGCCGCGGGACGCAAAAGCCCAGAGCTTATTAAAAGCTGTCACAAAAAGCTGGCTGCATATCTGAGAACTCCCTCATGAGTGTAACCAATCTAATCTATAATAATATTGTGGTCATAATGTGGTTTACTTGGTTAGGAATAGATTTTTGTTTTATATATTGCTTTACAAATAAGGTAAAATATATGTCGCAGTAAGATAGACGTAGCCGTAATATAGTTATATCCCTAGGGATATAATTATATACCGGATCATAGTTATACGAAAGCGATTCATTACTATCTCACTAGGGATATAGTTATAAAACGGACCAAGTTTAGGGATATACTTATATTACTAGATTAAGTTTAGTGAAATAGCTTTCGGAGTGTGCGGCGCAGGCGACGCGCCGCCTCCCCCGCGGCGGGAGAGGGGTTTGTTGTGTTTACGTGCTCCTCAGCCCTCAGTCAGTCACCTACCGCCTGACGCAGGTCCTCACCGGACATGGAAGTTTCGGGAGGTACCTGTGTCTGATGGGGCGGGAGGAAACGCCCGGGTGTCATCACTGTGAGGATCGCCCTGAGGACACGGTGGAACACACCGTAGCGGAATGCCCTGCGTGGGCTGAGCACCGCCGTGCCCTCAGGGAAGTGATCGGCGATGGCGACCTATCGCGTCCGGGCCTTGTGCAGGCCATGATGCGGAGCGAGGGGGACTGGGATGCCGTCTCCTCCTTTTGCGAAGCAGTCATGCTAGCTAAGGAGGAGGCGGGACGCGTGAGGCAGCGAAGCACTGCCTCCTCGCAACCCAGCCATCGCGAAGGACACACCGGGCGTCGGGGATCGCGGGACGATCTCCGGCCACCGTAAGCGCGGGCCTGCGGACGGCGAGCATGGGTGGCTCCCCGTCCGACCAGAAACAGACCCGAGCGTACGGCGCGTCGCGTTCCGCGCGCGCCTCAAAGAGCCATCAGACCACCACAGATGGGGCCCAATAGGGCCGA